CACCAATAAGGCTAGTTATACACAGTCAAATTATTTACAAAGAATAATGTAGAAAAAAATAAAAATAAAGTTGTTTTAAAAAGAGATCTACCAAGAGAAATCTAAGTGCGTATTTACTAATAAGTGTGTTCGTATTTTTATATTATTAAAGTGTTGTATAAAAGAAATCTACCGCTAGATTCGTTTTGTGAATGATACACATTTCCAAGTGGCTGGTAAAGAAATACGTTCGGTTACACGCACTGCTTACACATAGCGTGTGTGTGTATATATATATATATATAGAAAGTTTATAAATACATCGACGTATATTGAATTAATTATCGCACTTGAGTATTTAATTGTTATTTATATAAAAAGATGATGTCAAACAATCGAATCTAAGGGAGGAAAATAGAAAAAGATGGAGAGAGATGAGGATGGTTGTGGTAAAAATATTGGATATGCGAAGGAGTCTAGTGAAATGACCTGGGCTTTTTTTCTTTAGGTAATCAGGTTAAAAAAAAAAAAAAGGAGAAAAAAAAAACTTTGTAAATAAATTAGCTAGACAAATGATGGAATGGATAGAGGTTTAATACTGGAGAGGGATAGATACAGTAGGATTTTTTTTTTTTATTATATTTCTTTTTCGTATCAAGAACAAGGAAAGACAATGAAAGAACTCGAAGTGTGAAAACTGTCTTATTACCTTTGCTTTAACGTACGACAAAACAAAAGAATTACCAACCACCTATCCATAAATATCTTTTAAGAATAACCCCCACACCTGTACTTATACCCACTAATAAACATAAGATATAAATAAATAAAAAGGGATATTTTAAAATAAAAACAGGACTGAGAAAGAAAGAAAAAATAGATTTTGTTAAAATAACGCGTATCCAATTTCAATATATCTCACTAGATCGAAATTATTTTCTTTTTGTGTTTTTTTTTTTTTTGGTTCAGTGCGGGTGGGTCTATACTCTATATATATTCATTTTTTTCTCTGCTTCTGGTGGTATATTAAGGATTCAAAAGTCTCTAAAATGTAACCTTTCACCTCAGGGTTGAATTTAAGACTTAATAATAATAAAAAAAGGAAGAAAAAGAAAGAAAAAAAAAAGAAAAGAAACTGACGAAAGAGAGAGAAACACAGACCTGCTCACAGTAACGTGTCCAACTTGTCCTGTGCGTGTTCCCACAAGTAATTGTCTCCCTCCCTTGTAAAACACAAACGGCTACTAATTTTAAACCGATGCAACCAACCTTAACAAACCGTTTCAGCAAAAACAGTTTGCATAGTAAAATTCCTTGAAATTCGGACTTTTTTTTAAAGGTACCTCCACAAGCCTCCCGTCTGTTACTGTTTAAATATAAGCTGCATTTAAACAGTCGATAGTGATTTCTTTCCGGATGGGGTGAAGCCGTCTGTTGGGTCGGCTTGACTATCGCTAAATGGAAGATAACATTTGTGCATAGGGTGGATAGGCCAGAGTTGGTTCAGTGGACCAACACCACACGAGTTTTACTTATTATATATACAAACACCAGACCCGAAATTTAATATAAGCACAC